AGGCAGGGGTAATGAAAGCTTTGCACCGATTGAAAAGTTAACAAAATGAAATATATTATTTAACAGGGTACAGAAAGGAAGAAGGGTAGGGGTGTAACAGGGTAAAGGGATTATTATTCGCATGTCTGTGATGAATGTGATGAGAACTTCACCCAGAAGTCTACCTTCACCCAGCACATGCACACCCACACTGAGGAGAAGCCCTTTGCCTGCACTGACTGTGGGAAGAGTTTCACCTGGAAGTCCCACCTCGCCAAACATCGCTGCATCCACAATGGAGAGAAGCCCTTTGCATGTGGCACTTGCAGCAAGAGCTTCACAACCAAGTTCAACCTCAACCAACACCATCACATCTGCACTGGTGAGAGACCCTATGTCTGTGACAGGTGCAGCAAGAGCTTCAGCCACAGCTCCCACCACCTCGAGCACATGTGCACCCACACCAGGGACCAGCCTGTGCTAGGGGGACACAAATCATACAGTCATACAATCATTATGGTTGGAAAGGACCTCTAGGATCAGCAAGTCAAACCTTCATTCCGGCATTTCCCTAAAACCTTCATTCCAGCATTTCCCTAACCATTAGACCATAGCGTCAAGTGCTACATCTGCTCGTTTTCTGAACACCTCCAGGGATGGTGACTCCACCACCTCCCTGGGCAGCCCCTTCCAGTGCCTGACCACTCCCTCAGGGAAGGAATTCTTCCCATTATCCAACTGAAACCTCCCCTGGAAACATAACCAGGACAGCTGATCCAAACTGACCAAAGGGATATTCCATACCGTATGATGTCAGCTCAACTATAAAGCTGGTACAAAGGAGGTGGAGGGTGGGGGCTACTCCTTGGTCCTCCAGAGCAACCGCTATGTGTTTTGGAGCCCTGCTTCCCAGGAAGGGGCCAGACATTGCCTGGGGATGGGAAGTAGAGAACAAGTCTTTGGGGTTTATTTGTTTTGTTTTGTTTTTTCCCCATTGCTTCTGCATGCAGCATTGCTTGGCTTTCCTTTCCAATTAAATGGCCTTTGTTTTTACAAAGAAGGCTTTTGCCTCCATCTTATTTTACTTTCCCCTTTTAATTTGCAGAGGGATAGGAAAGGGAGAGTGTGATATTGTGGCTTGGTGGCACCTGGTGCTTGGCCAGGGTTAACCCATCACAGCTCTTCACTGGCATTTTCCCATATTGGGTGCTTTCCTACACATGTTCTTGGAATCATCCTTGGAAGAAGACCTGAGCCTTCAGGCACTGCTCTGAGGAGATCCCTTGCTATGATGGAAATGCTGCTGTGGAGGGCTGCTGTGCTGTGACTATTCCCCTCCACCTATGCACACAAGCACAGCAACTGCTGCTCCACAGCAGTACTGCAGGAAGCATATCAGAAAATGAAGTCATTAAAAGGTCTTTTATTTTGCACAAATGCACAGATATTGTGGCAAAGTATTTTGTTTCTATTTTAAATCAATGTACAGAGAGCGTAGCTCACCAAGGTCACTGTGAAACACAAAATTCGTACATCCAAATATAGAAATGCTGTGATGAATGACATTGCTGCATTTTTTTAGAAAAAAAAAAAAAAAAAAAAGAAAAGAAAAAAAAAATCAAAATAGGAAAAATGCCAGAAAACAGGCTGGGCCCAGAAGGATTAACATTAGGAGCAACATGCAGAAGAAGATGGACACTTTATTTCCTCTGCAGAATTTGAACCATTAGTTTCCTCAGGGGATCTTTGAGCTCCTGGTTCCTCAGGCTGTAGATGAGGGGATTCACTGTTGGAGGCATCACTGAGTACAGAACTGACACCAGCAGGTCCAGCAATGGAGAGGAGATGGAGGAGGGCTTCAGGTGTCTATATAGACTTCTGTAGGGTCTCCCAGCTCATATAGGGGGCCCCAGTATGGACCAGTATGCACTAGTATAAGCCCCCGAGTGGGTGGGTGTGGGGCCCCAGCCTATAGAGGCCTGGTCTATAGGGGTCCCAGGCCCCACAGGGGTGCGGGGGGGCTCTATAGGGCCACGGGAGAGGGGACGACAGACACAGATGGTTGCGGAGTGGTCGTGTGGGTCGCGGCCCCTACAGCAGGGCGGTGGGGGTATCTCGGGCCATAAGGAGGGGGGGGGGCAGGTCATGTGGCA